CCCCTTTCCAAATTTCCCCCTTTTTGGGCCCCCCCCAAAAATTTCTTTTTTTTCTTTTCCCCCCCCCCCCCCTATTTGTTTCTAATATACAAAAAGCAAAACAATTTTTTTAAATACTTTGTATTTAGAGGTAAAGGAAAGAAACAGGCCGGGAAAACGTAAGTGACATATGGAGTTCTCTATCTAACCTGAGAGAGTTTAAGCTTTTTTGGAAAAAAAGGATTGGGAATGATTTCAGCCGCTGGGTTTGCAAAGCTTTCAGAGAAATAAACCGATATATTTTGCTGCTCTAACTGCAGCTGCATGTGATTCACAAGGGTGAAAATAAATGAATGCCACACTTTTTAAAAATATTTCTTGGCAAAAAGAAAAAAAAAAAAAAGAAAAAAAAAGAGTATAATTTTCTTCTCATTCCACAATCAGGCACTATTTTGTGTTATTTCACATAAAATCCCAGAATCTCCACTGAGGTTTGCAGTTTAGCAAAAAAAAAAAAAAAACCTTTTAAATAGAAAGAATAGTTGTCAATTTGGGTATGTTTTGTGCATAAAAGAGACAAAAAAACAACATGGGGATAAATATTTTATTTGCTACTTTTATGTCCATACGTCTACCTCCCAGATCAGCTCTTTTTTTAAATCACATTATACACATAGCATTCTCTAGAAATGGTTCAGTTTATTATTTTTTTTCTGTATTGTAACACAGCACAATAGAACAGAAGAGTCCATCTTCAGTTTACAGCAGGTAATCATACAGATGTCCTGGTATCACTCAGTGGCTCTATCCAGTACACCTGAAAAACCAAACAAGAGGACGAGCACATCCAATATGCACAAATGAAATATCTTACTAGTTCTCATTTTCAGCACAATGAACTACTGGGCCAAAGGACAGAGATGAGTTGATTCCGCTTCCTGCCTTGTTGATCTGCAAACGTATCCGAAGAGAACATCTCTTGCTTTCCTGGCTGCACATTAGCCAGAGCATACCAAGCCAATCTATTGAACGAGGCCTCTGTGAAATGGAGGAACCATCTGCTAAATTAATGACTAGGGAAATGAAGGAATGTTTTGATTAACTCACCTCAATACGACATCCCACCCCTGCAGGGAGCCCAGTGATTATAGGCATGTTCCTGTCAAGATACTTAATTTTATCAATGCAGGTGGGACTCCAAGTCAAAATCTTCACATGGACTGACTCCATCTAAGAAAGAAAGAAAAAAAAAAAAGTCAATTGGCTCTTTTATCAAAGTCAGTTGTGATCTGGATGTTTTCTTGGACTTCATGAGCTACATAGAAAAAAAAAAAAACCTAACAGATTAAGCACCAGTGGTGCAAAGCCTGCAAAGATCACTGCTTCATTTTCCTGGAGCCAAGAACGCTGAACAAATCCCTGAATTGACTTTATCTGCCCGATTCACTACATGAGTTACTGCAGAGGTCAGCACATGCTTTCATCCTACGAAAGTCTTTGATAAAAGAAGGCCTGCCTCTTCTGCACACAGCTACAGACCTCAATAATTCACAGTTATTAGTAAATCACCAGCAGTCAGCAAGCAAGGCAGTCGTAAATGCTACAACACGACCCTTCCACATAACCAGATTAGACTGACAGCATTATCCCCAAATTCCACCCAGTCCTAAATGTAATTTATCAGAAAAAGCATGAGTCTGAAAAATTGGATTCACTCGTCGCTTGTTAACACCAAGCAAATGTGTTGTTTTTAGAATAAGACCATGCACGAAGGCCCTGCCAGCTACTGCACCCTCCATCTGCGCTATCCACGTAGCACCAGGCTCCGAGGACACTGTCCCTGCCAGTCATAAGCAAATTCAAGTTAATGCAAGTTAATGCAAAATGAGCTCCACTAGCCAATCCCAGTTTTACCGTCTCACATCCATTGAACTTTCCCACATTTTGTCAAGATAAATCCACAAATGTTATTGTTTCTTAGGGGGTTTTGCATGCCAGGCCAACACAAAGTAGCAAATATTTTGAAGTGAAATGAAAGGATGCATGTTATTGTAATCATAATAGTGTGGTGTAAATTTGTGTTAAGCCCTACTCTGCCATCTTTATTTATCTAGACTGAAACTTTTGTCATTTATCTTTATTAAGGAATAACTCCTTTGTCAGATGTCCCTGCTGAAGAACCATCCCTACTGCACTGTGCTGCCACCACCGTGTTTCACTGAGGGCATAATGTTCTCACGCTGACATGCCATTTTAATTTTCATCCAAATGTAGAATACATGTAGGCCACAACTCTAGATTTTGATAACATCCACCCTTAACCTCACCCTTTTGTGTGCATCTTCTGTGTTTAAATTCTGTTCTTCCCCAGAAAAGCTTCACATTTTAATCTTGCACAGGGAAACTTAGAAAATGTTTAACCAGCAGACCTTATGTGACATTTGCGTGATGTCAAAGTACACAGAGGCACTAAATTTGGTTGTACCTGCAACCGGACACTGTGTGTAACACTGACCTGCCCTCATCCAGCCCAATTAGAAAAAACTCTACCTGATCAGGGAAAGTCAAGGCATTTGCATTTCAGAACCTTTAAATGCCCTTTATTTCTTATGCTCTCTTCAGTACTTTTCCTGTTTAGCTCAAGGCTGAGATGCATCTTATTATTATTATTATTATTTTTCACAGCTTATGTAAAACCAAACTAAGCTGTTGTTATTAATCGTTAACCTTGTAGATTAGAATTAAAAGGAAAAAAAAAGAGTTTAATACACAACTAATGATTTTACCTGGGTGTTCTTTTGAGTTAATAGCAAAACACATTGTAAGGATTAAAAAAAAAGTTAAAAACCTTGACTGCACTAATAGGTAGGAGACTTTAATTGGAAAAGTACTGCAGTGATTCAGAGCCGCTGGCAGTAACTGAGTAACTGAGAGAGCAGCTTCTCACTCCTTAAGCAACCATCTCACTTTAGCAGACAATGCCAGGATTTAGTGGGCTTGAATTGTGAAAGAGTTGTTCAGAGACCACGAGACACTGCTTTCACACACTGACTGTCCACAATAGAGTCCAGAACCTAAATCCCATTGAGAATGTGTAGGATGTGTTAAGGAACATCTCATGGTCTGATTCTCCTATCACCAAAACAGAACCTTTTGTGAAAACTGTACGCAATTCTGGGTGTGCATAGATGCTGAGGAGTTGCCCCCTTTATTAGCTTTTTATCAAGGCTAACAGGCTTTTCAATGAAGGCAGAGAAGATTGACCACTGTTAGAAGATGCAAAAGCTTTGCAGTCATCATTTATTTCTCGCACTCCTTGAAATTTTATTGAATGTTACTTTTATCTGTCCCAGAATCAGCGAACTTCAAATATATTCTCTATTGAGAATAAACATTTTCAATCATTCTTGACTCCAAAATGGCATCTTGACAATCTCAGTTCATGCTTAAAGTCTTGTCAAATGTCTTTTTTTTTCTGTCCTTATAGCTCACATTCTATTTTTAAGCATATGTCGTGCCATGCTGACTGCATTGAGGCCAACATCAGTCACTTACCGCTGCAAAGAAAATATGACCTTTTGAATGCATGACAAGGAAACCAGACTCCTGCTCTGCCTTTCTGTGCAAAGGAACCTGTGGGGTAAAGGGCCATGCCACTTCATGTCTTCCTTCCTGAGAAAAGAATGAGAAACCTTTTAAAGCATCACCCTTACCTTTGCCGACACAGCATCGCGTGCCTACTTTTCCTTTTCCTACAAACAGCCTCTAACTCGAGTATTTTCTTGCACATCTCTGAATTGTGCTCTGCTTTATCTTGTCCTCCTATTTTTAGATAAACTGGCATTTATAAGTCTGCCTGAAAATGCTTTAGTTTTGTGATAGCATAAAATTGAGTAGGTTTAAGTTTTGCTATTTTATTGTTAATTGTAGTTTGGGTGGCTGGTTGGCTGGCTGCCTGCCCAGGATGTTGCACCTCTTGGGGCGTCACAAGCACTCAAAAAAAAGTGTCCGCTGATTAGGTTTCCTGTTGCCTAATTTTGAAACAGGTGGGACCTGTGTTATATAGTCTCCCCTAATATCTGCTGAGATTAAGTGGGTGACTAAGTTTCCTGTGTAACGCACACTCATAGCTCCTATTTGACCTGCCACCAATAATATCTCTCTTTTTCTAAACAATATCATCATCTGGATAGCTGTATAGTATTTTGGGTGTGTGCTTTCTCCTGCTATATTGTTGTGGTTGTGCTGTTGCTTCTGAATCCTACTTTAGCTTCCTGATTATCATTTATTTTATGCAACAGAAAACTAACACCACATGTCAACCTGGAAAAACTATCCACACAGTTTGCCGCATGGTGGTAACAGCATCATGGGGCGGGGAGTGCTATTCTTCAACATAAATGGTTGTTTATATCAGTGTTACCGTGTTTGCAGCACAAATGAAACCTGTCTTAAAATGAATGCAAACGCAGTAGAATCAATATGGGAGTGAGAACGAGGACAGGTTCATGTGAAAGGCACCGTGTGATGGTTAATGGTAGGAGGGGCAGATGGGATACGAATAAAGTCTCCACTGCATATGGTCTCATTGTTTTACTGGCATCCTGGGCAGCCAGCGAGGACGCAGGATGCTATTCGCAAACAGTTGTTTTCTGGCCAAGAAAGAAAATAAAAGAGCTATTCTGGCTGTCACCACTCTGAAGCAACAATGGATTTGGCCTTTGCTGACAAAATTATGACAAGTTAATAAGAATGTGACGCTTGAAGAGGAAACCTGATCTTCTGCTTCAGAGTGTTTAAATTGTATCAAGTCTCTGTCTACATCTACAAAAACCTTAATTTTCACATATTTGTTTGTTGTACCACTATTTTTTTATTTGCTTTTAATCAAAGTTTTAAACAAATATGGTTTAGAAGTACTGCGTGGTTATTGATACAAACCACAATGAACAATGACAGAAACAACTTTTTCTGGTTAAGCTTTGCACAAACTTTTCCCAGCTAATCGATTGGTCAGAAGGGTGGCTTTCATCTGGCTTGGTGAGAACCTCTCTCTGGTTAAGGGAAGAATTTCAGAGCTTATTAAAACCGACTTTGATCTTTTTGCCAGTAGGAGCACCTCATCGTGTCCTCACCCTGCACTCCATAATTTTCATACCCTGCCAATTTCAGATGATAAAAATACGATTCGCGAGTCTAAATCAACTCTTGCAGATGCACAAAATATTTCGAACGTGATATAGCTATAGATTGGGGATATTTTTAAGCGATTAAACAATGCAGAAGTGGACAAATGAGAAATGAACAATCAAAGTGAATGCTTTCTGTCGAGCAATGCAAAATGATACTTACGATTTTAATGACGCGCCTTCCATGTGCTTGAAACGGATGAAAATATGTTGGAATAACATGATGAGAAATCTATGTGTCACACTACATAGTGGTGTTGATTAAATCCACTTGCTGCTGGTAATCCAGAGTCCAGGTCAGGAGTTTGTGCAATCCGAGGCCAGAGAGCTCGGTATTGCTTTCAGGTGTTCTGTTCAGAAAAAGCCAAGCTACTGACTTTGTGTGTGTGTGCAGTTTTCCTTAAATAAGGCTCCTGATCACATATTATCCAGCTATCACTTATTTCCCATCACATTTTTCGCAGAACTGTTAATGGTCTGTTACCACCCATGATGACATCAAGTACTCTTGTAAAAGACAGCGCTTGCATTCAGTCACAGATCATTCACCAGAACCGCTGAAGATCTAGTTCTGTCACCACGGTGGATGGCATTCAAACTGGTCATTAAATTTGAAAAAAAAAAAAAAAAGAAACATAAAAATTGTGGCATTTCTTTCCTGTTATGAACTGTAAAAAGCAGAGAGGAGGAGCTGAAGGATCCAGCCTCTTTGAAAAGGGATGTCAAAATTCTAAGAAAAGTGCCACTTCCTTGAAAACAGGCAGCGTCAATACAAAACCGTAAGGGCCCAGTCACAGTATTAGCGTGAATTCCTAGAAAACTCCCTCCTGGAACGTGTACTGCAGGAAGTGACGTGACCATGAATCACACGGCATGCCTATAATAAAAACAATCAGAGCTTTCATTCCACTTTTCCCTGTTATTTATTTATTTATTAATTAATGCCTTTATTGCGGACCAGTTGGCTTCGGCTTCATGTTCCAACACAGGTGAATTCAAAGAACACAAGAGATATGCAAAGGTGAAAACGGAGCAATAAAGATAGGTCAATCAATTGATAAGCAGCTTCAGCAAACAGCAGCCTCAAACAATGGAAGGAAAGTCATTTAAACCTGTGGAAAGTAGAAAGTAGAAGAATATTATGTGGTATGCTGAAGGGATCTTCAAACTTAGATTAATTCAAGGTGGGCCTAAAGTTCAACTTTTATTCATTTCGTGTCTTCGAAAGATGTACATATTTTTTCACATTTTATCACAGTACAACCAAAAACATTGATATGTTTTTGCGAAACAAATCAATGTTTCGCAAAACATGTTGACAGTATTCTTCAGATACTGTCAAAACTTGGTTCTCAAAGTTTTGACAGTATCTGAAGAGTGTGGCAAGCATTTTCATTCAGTTTGCCTCAGTCAGCATTTTGTAGAGACACTGTTTGCTGCAGCTATTGCTGCAAATCCTTTGGATCATCTCTACCGGCTTCGTAAAAAGTGAAATTTGCCTCTAAGGGCTTAGATTTTTCTTCTTTCTTATTTGAAAAAACTTACTTTTATTGAGTGGAAAGCATCTGCAAAGATAAACTTTCACACCTTTTCTGCTCTGACCGGGCCATTCTAACGTAACTATACTTTGATCTTAACCGTTTGATTATACCTCTGGCATAATATTCGGGGTCATTGTCCTGTTGGAAGGTGAACCTCTGAGCCAATACAAATTTCCTAACCCATCCATCTGTAACTTTAACTTGTCCTTTAACTGTCCCTTTTGAAGAAAAGCAGAAGCCAGGAAGTTTTGCTTTGATCTAATCTGTCCACATGTTTTCTCCGTGGTTGTGTTGGCTTACACAACAGGGAATAGAACTTGGAATCCAGAAAAACTACTTTAGCAACTACTTTTTGAACTCATTTACCTTTTACCATAAACAACAGCTCTGTGGAGGACTCGACTAAAAGTTGTCCAATCAACAGATTCTCATTGGCAGCAAAATCCTCTTGGCTGCTTTTCTGACTGAGGTTCTTGTTTATGGTTTAATTTCCACATTAACATTTTCTGTGTACAACCTTTTATGTCTTCAAACTGCAGGAAATGAAAACAGTTTAAGCGCATTTAACAAAGCAAAGAGAAAGGAAAATGTGTAAGATCTTTGGTTAAAAGCAGGGTGTCGTGGTTAGGTTATGAGACCACAACCATAAAAACAGATGAGTTGCTCAGTAAGGAGCAGATTCCTATGAGCCATTTCAGGAACCAAGTTACCGTAATTAACCTATATTCTTCAGCTTTTCTTCTTACTTTTTAAAATAAGAACATAAATAATAGAATAGCTCAGCCAAAGGAAAAGGCATCCACTTGTATGGGTTTTCACAAACCAAGCATGTAATTGCCTTCCTGCAGGGTGTCTAAGAAAAGAGGCAGACATTAATGAGACAGCAATAGAATGGGCAAAGCTATCCAAGCATTGTGCCCTTTTGCATCTGAAAGGAAAGGGAATGTTACCCAGTCATACATGTCCTTCTTTCATCTTTTATTTTCTTTAAATGTCAATACAAGGGAGCATCACTTTTAGTTTTTTTTGGAGTAACAAATGTCAGCTGTCGCAAAAATTTTTGGTTTTGTTGAAACATTAAGTGTGGAGCATTCATTTGCTTTCCATTGCATCTTGGAAATGAAAATGTGATTTCTATGCAACTGTTACAAGATCCAATTTATTATAGTTTTATCCACCTTTGAATTGTCTACACATTAGGGGTTGTACACTTGTCTGACTTTAAGGTTATCATTGTGCCAAAAAACAAACAATAAAATTACTCCATTTTGTATTTTTACAAATAGAGTGAATGATTCATAAATGTTAGACAGTGGTTTAAAGAATATCTAATTAATCAGGCTCAGGTTTGATTCAGAGATGTTTAAATTTAGTTCAGACTATTTACATAACTTAGAAATAACCCTTCAAAGACGTAGGAGTCTTTGAAGCCTCCTATGTTGCATAGCATAGATGCTATGCAATCTATGCATAGCATCTATGCACAGCATCTATGCATAGCATCTATGCATAGCATATGCATAGCATTTATGCTATGCATAGATGCTATGCATATGCTATGCATAGCATCTATGCTATCTAATCAAAGCTATCTAATAGCTTTGATACATACTCAAAGCTATTAGTCAGAATACTTTGAGCATGTATCTTGGCTGTCCTTGTTGTTTTTTCTATGGGGTACCAAAATGCTCCTAGCATTAACAATTTAAAAGTGGTTGGAGCTTCCTTGGTGCTGTTGTAATGAAGTGTTTTTTGCTAAATGAGCAGTTTGTACGAACATTCTCAACACAACGGTGCAATTCAAAAACTGCTTCCATTTTTACTTCAAAATGAGAGTAAAAATGGAACCAACTTTATTTCTGAGGCTAATAATTTATCAAAAGCTTAAACAATCCTATTATTGTTTGTAGGCTGAACCTTTGGGAAAGTAGCAGAAGTTGCAGTAAAGTGGCTTGCATTGGTAGCTTTAATCATTGGTAAATAGCAGCTTTTTAAATAGCAGTTTTGCAGTTTGGTAAAATTTCATCAAAATTCTGGGTTTCCCCACACATGTCCTATAAAAAGGTTGGAGCTTAACTTGTAGCTTCAACAAATGAGTGTTGAACACATACACCCAAAGTAAAACAGGATTATTCTTGAGATTGTGGTTCAGATTTAAATGCAAAGACCTAAGTATGACCACATTATCCAATTTAAGGTGCATTTCATACCTCTCTATGCACTCTAACATGGAGTCTATGTGAGACTGATTTATTCATTTGTTACCACTTACTAGGATCTTTCCACTGACACCTGTGTGTAGCCAGATTTCTGTGACTGCTCTTACTGAGCACACAGAGAGCAGGACATTACTTCCTGTTAGAAAGTCACACAGGGACATAGCAGGTAGAGATAATGGGTCAGTTCATGAGCAGAAGGGGAAAAAAACACAAACAGAAGAGAAATTGAGGAGAGCCCTGTTGTTTCCCAAAATGATTAATTTATTTGTCCAGAACAACAACAACACAAGTGGAATTAATATTATGACGAGAAATAACTTTACTATTTACTATTTAAGTCTCATTTCCTTCTCAGTTTGAAATGAACGATCCAGCTCATCATCGCCCCCTAAGACCTAGTAGTGAAACTGTGTCTCTTAGTCATATGTGGTCAATCAGCTGAGCTAAAAAAAAAAATAAAAATGCAGCACTTGCTTGTCAGCGAGGCATGCACAGATGTGGAGAGCTGTGTTCAAACCTTTATGGTGTAAAATGTATCGTTTTTACTTACTTGCTCTGCAGATTGTTTATTTACATGTATAAATGATGGTCTGGTTAAATGACAAGAAGTTATAGCCACAATTTATATAAAGACTTCATTTTTAGGGGAAATCTTGGGATATTTTAATATGCCGCAAAATCTCATCACACCTCTTCTTTGTTCAACCATTACCATTTGAGAACCTCCGACCATTAATTTCAACTAAGCTTCCACAACTCTGCCACCAGATTTCTTTACAGGTGCATACAGAAGTAATTTGATAATTTGATCAAACTACTTTTTCATGAAAAACAATTATATTTCTTTTTGACCAAATATTGTCAGTCAGCTATACTTTCTTCTTTTATCTCGGAAGTATATGACCTTCACAGTCTTATCTTGGGCTATCATGCTGTGTAGATGTTTTTTCTTTATCTGCAGTACGTTGGTTTCACTCCCTGAGCTGCTGAGTTCTGCTTGTTAATACAGGTGTCCACTTTGCTTAAATTTTCTGACAAAGAAACTTTTTGATGCTTTACGTAGCGTTTCAGGGAAAGGTGAAATGAATGTATGATCATTTTTTTTTTTTTCTCTTTTGGCTTATTGGTCATAAGCTAAATTTAGAAGATCTGTTGCAAAATTGTCTAAGAATAAGTTAACAACCTGCTTCTTATTGGAATAGTTTTAGATTACCATGTGTTTAGCAGTCACATCAAACCTAGAATGTTTTGCACTGCACTGAATTGAGGTTGTTTTAATGAAACCTTCAGCTTTCCATTAATAAATGGGTGAGAGTTTTTATAGTGACAACTTAAAAACCCCCAAAAGTCTACTTTATATTCTTTTAAACCATTAATAAGTATGCAGACAGTTACAACTGCTCATGTTAAGTGTTTTTTTTTATTTATTTTACTTATAAAAGTGAAACTTTTGAGTGCACACACAATATCTTATCTGTCAGCATTAAGAAGTGATACAGAAATATAGAAATGTACAAAAATGGCTCAACATACAATACTGATAAGGAAACAAAAGATTTTCCAAACTGCTTTGTTAGGATTTCAGTACAAAATGTGCACACTGAAGCAGCAAGTTCGGATGATAGGTTTGCACTGGGTCGACAAAAAAAAAAGCAAATTAGAAGGTGACACTAAATGACCCGTAGTAGAAAACCCCTTGTTGGTAATTAAAATAACACAAAAAATGCTAAATACACTAAATTCAAGAGCTTTTAAATCTTTTTACAATAGTATAGACATGTACATTGGGGTTAAGTGTGTGTGGCTATTTAGATGTCATCTCCACGGTGGTCGCGTCGTTGCCTCCGTTGACGTCGTAGTCCCCGACTGGCCCACTCACCAGCACCTTCACGCGCTCTGGGAAGTCGTCAAATTTGGGCGACAGCAAGAAATCGTAAATGAGAGCCGCAGCCACGCCACCACACATCGGACCCACCCAGTACACCTGGAACAGACAACACTGATCAGTCAATCCGCAAATAAGAAGCTTTCCTTTTGTCAGTGACTTATACTGAATTATTGCTGACCTTTTTTTTTTTTTTAGCTATAGTTAACTAACTTGCTTTTAGGAAGCAATTAAGTTTCTTAATATTGAGACATAAAGTGTGCAGAGTTGTGAGGTGTGCATAAAATGCTCATGTGTTTTACCCACTGACTTACCCAGTGATCTGTGAAATCATTCAGGATCAAAGCTGGGCCAAAGGAACGGGCTGGGTTGATGCCGCAGCCTGTGTAGCTGATCTGCAATCACAAAGTCATATTATCTTCTGGGATGAAGGATATTGACTAAAGCAAGCTGCAAAATTCATGGTTTTCGAGAGCTTTGTCATGTTTACTGCTGGTCCACCACACTGAAACATGGTGCACCTTTACTGGGTAAGCCCTGCAATGTTTTTGAGGATAAACTCACAGCTGCCAAGTGTCCCAGGCAGACCGAGAGGCCAATGGCCAGGGGTGCCGAGCCGGTGACATCACGCCGCCTTTTATCAGTGACTGCAATGACACACAGCACGAGCTGAAACGTTGCCAGGAGCTCTATGCCTACGCCTTGGCTGGCGGTGACACCGTTAAGCTGTGAGGGGAAAAAAACAGAACAGCAGCACTCTGTTAGTTGGTTTTATGTAGATGGATAGTTTCCCATCCCCCCTTCCCAGTTTTTAACAGTTTGCTGGTGTTGTCCTGAAACTTTGACAGCAACTTGGCAGAGAAACAGAATTCGATTTCGTTAGAAGTTATCAACAGAAAAGTTATCTTTTTCAGCGCTGCTCACGGATAAGTTTTTGTCTGTAAAACCCAAGCGTCCAAAAGCACTTAACTCAAAGTGTTAATTCTGCATATGGTCACTTTAAATTTCTTGCAGCTGTTCACCTGTTTTAACGATATCTCACTTCTTCGAAGTAAGAGGGCAAGATAAATAATTTCAGTTCAGCCTTCCTTATGAAAGCTACAATATGCTGAAATTAAATGTGCATATATATCTTTTTTTTTGGTTTTTTTTTAGAACTATCAAAATAAATACTTACAGAGTTCAGCCCCAGTGCAGTCGTGTCATTTGGACGTGTTCCAAATACAATGCCACTGGCCAGAGCCGAGCCAAGCATTTGTGCCACAATGTACATCACTGCCTTAAACACACTGATCTGGCAGCTTGCAAGCATCCCGAGGGTCACTGCAGGGTTCAGGTGGGCTCCGCTGATGTGGCCCAAACTCTGGGCTAGAGTTGCAATTGCAAGTCCAAATGCCAGTGACACCTTTACCTCCTGGTCCGGGGCTGTGTTGTTCTTGTTCCCGATAGCTGTGGAGATGCTGAGGAAAATGAAGAGGGTCATGCCGACCAGTTCAGCCAAAACAGCCCTCCAGAACTCCTTACTCTTGAACTCTCGCATGGTGGCTGATGAGGTCTGGCTGTTTACGGTTGAAGTTGAAGCTGGTCTTCTGCAAGGTCTGAGTGGTTAAACTCACAAACAACTGCAAACAGGGCTGCATATATAAGGCCTGAGTGCTGATAATGGTTGGTGGGCGGGCTTAAAAAAAAAAAAAAAACAAAAAAAAACAAAGAGAGGGCCACGCTGAATTAATGAGAAATCCAAAAGACTGGTCTCTCACATCCCTCCCTCTGCTACCTCCTTCTCGCTACACCCTCTCTTTGAAACCCTGTCTGGTCTTTGGACTTTTGTGAGTAATAGATCTGTGTCTTTAAATAGCTCTATCCAACCAAAGGTAAAATTTCCTTTTGATACACGCATGTCAAGCTTTACAGCAGAGCTTCTCACTGAGAGCTCTAAGTAATAAAGTTTGATTTAATTATGACACATTTTGAGGATTTCAAGTCTATTTTGAGTTCCTTTTTTGTGTGCTTCATCTATGGAATGACTCCAATACATAATGTTGTCCTTTACTAACAGTTAGGGCCACTGACGGCACATACGGAGGAGTCAGATAAAACGCAGACAACTCCCTATCTGACATTTAGGTCTCACCCTTCCTCCCAGAGCAGACACTTTCACAATAATGTCTTACATGCCCTGTTTGGGGGGACACATTCTCAGACAAAGACAGGAAAATGATGCCATTATTATCAATTAGACTTATTGTGTTATAAAATTTATCTTAAAAAAAAAAAAAAAAATATATATATATATAACTTTTTAAATGTTTAGCTTTTCAGCAAGTAGCAACTAATTAGAATCAATTACAGTGCCTTGTAGAAGCACTCATACACCTTGAATTATTTCACATATTGTAATATTAAAACCACAAACTTAAATGTGTTTCATTAAGATCATAAAGCAGGACATAACAGTGAAGAAGATGATAAGTGGTGTTTATTTATTTATTTTTTTTTCCAACTACTGACTTGCATATTTTTCAGGAATGGTTTGCTCAGGCAGAGTGTTACCACTGTCTTTTTCATCTTCTCAATGAAGCATTTTCTTCCCCATGTTTGCTATTCCCTCTACAAGGCTTGTGGCAAACTTCAAACAAGACTTATGGATTTCTTCTTCTGTTCAGCAATCATCCCACTCTTCCAGAAAGGCCAGATCTGTGGAGTAGATTACGAATAGCTGTTCTGCTGACAAATTCTTCCACCTGCGGTGGGAATCTCTGCTGTCCCTTTTCCATTATAGTGATTAATTTGCTTGTTTCTTTAATTGAAACTCTTCTTGTCCTGCTCTGCCAGTTTAGATGAACATACAATAATTGGTAGGTTTCTTCTTCTCTGTAACTTTCTCCCGTCCTTGGGCTTCATGGTGTTATTTGTTCACAAAGCAGCTATGCTTACACTGAGATTAAATTACACATGGGCGGTCTGTATAATTAAGCAAATGAAAGCAACTGGTTGCACTGGATTTTATTTAGGGATTTCAGCATAAAGACAAATGCTAATTGTGCATGTGAGATCTTTGCAAAAACAATGCAAATGAAAAAAGAAACAAACAAAGAAAATGATAAAATATCATTTTATCATTTTCTTTCCACTCTACAGGTATGACTTGCTCTGAGTTGGTCTATCACAGTCTATCAAGTCGCAATAAAATTCATTATTCATTGACAAAATGTGTAAAGAGTTCAGGGGTTATCAATACTTTCGCAAGGCATCGAACAATCAAAAATATTTTTGCATGTTCCACAATATGTTTTGTTCTTTATCTCGAATGAACGAAGCCACAGTAATTCATTAACTGAAAGGATGTTCTCTACATAGTTATTAGTTGTAGTGTTGAGCAAGCAGTGAAACATCAACCCTGTGAACAGAGCAGCTGACCCCAATCTCACGGATCCATTCTAGCAAATAGAAACCCGAAGGATATATCTTCTCAGCTGACCACCAAATATTCTAAAGCAAATTCTCACAAGGTCACCTATCCGAATTTTTCATTATTTTATTTATTTATTTATTTTTTTGCATGGTGTTCCTAACATTATGCCGTACTTCTCTGTTCATAATTTAATATTTTTCATATCTCAAACAGTGTTTTCCATTAACTGTTCAGCTTTTTTCTTTGATATTTTTTCTCTGTTTTTTTATGAGCTAAATTATCTTGTGATTTATTTTAATTTTTCTCTGTGCAACATCAAAATGAGGGAAGGGAAGTGGCCCATCCTTAAAAATATAGACAACATTTTAATTATTACCTAATTTCACTCGACAGTGATGGAGCTCCAAGATTTCCTGCAGATCAATGAATCATTGCAGAAATGTCCATGAGTCAGCAGCCTTCTGTGTTTCTTACTCAAAAGAATTTCTATGCAAGTGAATGTTTTTTGTCAGGCTTTAGGAAGATGTCTCAATCTTCATGATAGTTACTTACATTCAGCATCTGCTCATTTGAAATCAGTTTACCAAGGACATATAAGGACAACCCTATCAGTGCTCATAGACCTAGAAAGCCTATTCTCCAGGATCATATAGACATTGAAATTCTGATATTTTTGAAGTGAGCTGAAGTCATTATCAGTAAAGGTTTACTTACCTGCTTCAAAAAGATGTCATTTCAAAGTACATTTATAAAAGACAGACAATAAATTCTCAGAGTGGTGGAAGGCTAACAGCTGGTCATCTAAATCCCTGATGATATGTGATTTTAGTTGTTCAAGACCGCTCAAAACTCCAGGCACCTCTGTTTAGATGCTAGTTTTTTTGAGACCTAAAAATACATGAAAAGAAATATTTCATATTTCCACATTAAATGCAACATGCAACGACATCTTTTCATCATTTTTTTCAGTCATTTCTGAAGTCAAACATATATTATATAGGTATATTACATCTAGACTGGAATATTTCATTCCTTTTCTTCTTATGATTTTAATAACTATTGTTGAAAGAAAATTAAAACCCTAAATAAAGAGTCAGACGCTTAGATCCTCTAAATGGTTTCTGCTGACTTGACAGATGTCCCTATAGGTAATCACTAAAGAAGCTAGTTGTTCACAGAGTTCTGTAGTATATTTGAAGACATTTGAGTAGAAAGAAAAAGTAGGGTTGAAAAAGGTGCATCAGCAATAGAAATAACAGCAGTTCAAGTCTAGTGAAGAGTTTGGGGGAGCTTCACAAGGAGTGGAACTGACACTCCTATGGGCTACAAATGACGTAGCCCAAGCCACTTCTGAACTCGAGACAATGTCAGAGGCACCTTACTTTGCATAAGAAGAAAAAGAATTTAACTGTTGCTCAGTGGTTCAAAGTCCTCTTTTTCAGATGACGGCAAAGTTTGCATTTCATTTCGAAGTCAAGATCCCAGAGCCTCAAGGAAAAGACACAGGATCCATGTTCCCTGAACTCTAGTGTGAAGCTTCAAGATTTTGGGTGCATTGTCATCTGCTGGTCGGTTCACTATGTGTTTGGAAGTTGACAGTCAATGCAGCCATCGTAAAATTAATTAGGTGACTTTTTTGTGGGCATCAAGCTTCCTTCTAGAGAAGCTGATTTAATTTTCCAATAGGCTTTGGCATCTGCCCACTCTCAAACGTTGGTTCACTGACCATGGTGGCGATGCATTCAGCAGTAACACCATAATGCATGTGATTAGCCTGGAGTAAGCTGTCTTAGTAGGCTCTGCAGCCTTTACCTCAAGTCATAATTTGAAATGTGTCCACTACTGGGTTACTTACTCGTTAAATTTGCAGAGATAATTTCTAGATCTGGAATTGTAAACATAACTTCAACATAGTGAAACTGTAGTTGAAAAGCCAGCAGCTGTGTTAATTATGGTGAATTGTGAACAAACAGATTAGTAATATCTTGTAATATGGCCTTGTAGCACAACACGTAAAGTCTGACCAAGTTTAATCACTAAAATCAGCCGGAGGTGGAGATGCGTCTGACTAGCTGTTAGATTTTCATGCTCTGACAATGATTTGACTCCCTCAAAGGAAACTGCAAACTGTCCCTTAAGGCAGTTTTTTTAGAGACTGTTACCACACTGATTGTTATATAAATGAGAAATTATGAAAACAATAACTTAACAGAATATATTTTCAAATAACCCAAGCCATCCTCTCAAGGTAATAATTCTGTAGAGCATGTTCCAGTGTCCAGACTGGTTGGACTCTGCAATAGCTTGCAATAGCTTCTCCTTGTCTGTTCTCTTTGGCACATTTATATTTGTCTTGTCTTTGTCTTTCACACATGGTGTCTTCAAACAAAGTCTATCAGTTTGCTCTGGAGCAACCAGCTTTGGTTCTCAATTGGCAAAAAAAAGGTGAAAAAAGTGCCAAACAGAGGAGTTAAATTAGCTTCAAACACCACAACTGCAGTGATTAAACTATGAACAGCAGTCAGACACCTGAGATCTCCAATGAGAGAGTATCAAATCTGGAATGCAATGATAAACTGCACAATAGAAAAGATATCCTTGTTCTTTCTCCAGTATGACAAACGTGTGTCAGACGAAAGAAATTTGAAAAATGTGGCACACAAACAAAGCTATTTTCCCTTCATATCTTTATTTGTTTAGAGGTTTAGATTTGAGGAGATCGGAGAAGTCCGTATGAATTCCAAAAAGTTTTGAAAACGACCATAAACCTCAGATCTGATGACCAGTAAATATACTGCTAATTATTTTTATTAATATGTGCACATGGAAATATATAGTACTATTTCTTCAATTCACTAGGGCACAGTGTATGATGTACAGCTGACGCATCTCTCTTTTTGCTGGGAGAGCTGAGTAGCAATATCAGAAATAGATAAATATCCATAAAGGATAATTTATTTGCCCAGTTCCTCTGTTAGATAATATCCAGTCGCTCATTCTGTTCTGGGCCTCCCAGACAAGAACCAAAACATCAAATTTCAGAACAGCAGTGGCCTGCAGACTCAGAGAGTCATCAGTGAAGCCTTAAATAACATTTGTGTATGCAGGAGCGGTAAAAGTTTGGCATGTTCCAAACTAGCCAGAGGAGTGAAGATGAGTTCAGAGAACCAACGGGAAAGTCAAATGGGATTTGGATCTGTGCTGCACTCTGTCAAACTTGACTTT